CCCTCTGAAGCAATGATGCCATTTTTTCAGTACATTGGTTAGATGAATTGATCATTGGAAAATAGAGAGCAAAGGACAATGATTCATTCAGATACCTGAAAACATCAGGGCGTTGATCATAGTCAACATGTAGGCCAGTCGAAGTATCACGCCACTTTGTAGCTGAAGTGAAGCAAAAGGAAAATGGCACAAAAGATTGGCATTACATCAAAAGCCCAAAGCAATTGCTGATTTCTAGACTACCTCTGATATGATTTCAAATCTTACCCAAACCAAGATCAACAAGAAACAACTTTTTCTCATCGGGTGTTCCAGGAGTTCCAAGAAGAAAGTTCTCAGGTTTAACATCCCCATGCACATATCTGCAGACATTTAGAGCAGTCAGTTATACACTGAAGCCTATACTATTGCAAAAGAGGAAAATGCAATCATTTGAGATGAGGAATGAGGCCAAGGCAATGGCTTATTCAAAGAAAGGCATTTATGAAAATACAAGTTGAAGCTCCTATAAATGGGACTTCTTTTACAGGCTGACCACCAGTTTCTGCCCTTTTGGGGCAAAAAGATGCAAAAAAAAAGGTGCACTCAAACAGTATAAGGTAAAAAACAGAGTTTTACAAACATCCTAGAAGAACAGCAATTTCAAAGGAAAAAACTTGCCCTCGAGAGTGCAACTTCTCTAGTATTGAGATTGCTTCAATGGCAATACAAGCTACCATTTCAATCGACATCCTGATTTAAGCGAAGAAACATGTAAATGTGTAATCAATGAGTGGAGTTGGAAAAATAAACAAAATGCATGTACAAGTTTTCTGAAATTTCCTTTAAGGGGCATTACGTGTGAGAATTGTTGTTCCAAACGTCCCATAAACTAGGACCAAGCATATCCATAACCTGAAATAAAAGAGGATCTGTGTTGTTCAAACACTAAACATTATAATTATAATATAAATTCTGCACACATTCAAATATTTTACATACCATAATGTAGTAATCACCTTGGCGGCCTTTATAATGAACACGTGGTATGCCATGACTACCGCCAAGGGCGCTGAAAATAGTACCAGATGTCAATTTGAGGACTAATGCTGTAATGCATTACCAATAACCAGAGAAGAGTATTCATACTTACGTGTAGACTTGCCACTCATATGGTGGACCATAGTTACAACCTTTGCTGCTTCTATGCTCAAATTTTAAGGCTACCTAAACAATACAGTTAAGACATTAAAAACATGAAACCCGCATCTCCTGAATTGTTAGCTAGGGAAGCAAATATATTTGTAGTACCATACCTCTACAGCTCCTGAACCAGTTCTTTCAGGTGGATTTGGAGGATTAATTCGACGACCAACATAGACTTGACCGAATCCTCCTTTCCCAAGCTTCTTATCAATCCTATATGCAGGAGATCCACCAACCTGGACCTGTTTTGTGTAAAAGCAAGTGAATTAGCAATCAAATAGTGAAATGAGCACATTTACATCATCAAATAACTTGATTGCTAATTATCTAAGAATAAAGCAAATTATGTTCTTCAAAGCACACAGGACTAATCATCAGCCAGGTGTCTATGCATGTAAAAGAATCAACTTTTAAGATCATACAAAAAAATAACTGTGTAAAAGAATAAACGTTTAAGACCACAAAGAAAAAAAATTCATTTCCTAAATTGCCCACAAAACTCTTAGACAAACCCAAAATAAATCAAAATGCAATTTAAAATAAAAACGAGTTCTTTAAAATATTTAAATCAAACTAAAAAAGGGTGAGTAATAGGCTAATAGTTATACCCTTTCTGGAAGGGGAGCAGTGTTCCCTTCCTCCTCAGGGCCCAAACCCTTATCCCCGCTTCTTCCTCCGCTGTCGTACTCGTCCATTGCCAAACACCCAACAGCTTCCTTCACTTCCTTCAACCCCCTACCTTGTCCTGTCCGAATCTCTCCCCAATACGATGTCGTTTTCCTCACAGCATTCTTCCCCCTTTCCTCGCATCCATCTTTATCTACCACTGCACTATCTTACGCCTAAACAATCGTACAATTACTACAGTTACAGTTCTTCCTACCGACGGCTGCCTTCCAACTCCCCTTTAGGGCTCTATCGGCCGTAATTGATCACAGCTCCACCGGATTCATCTTCCGTCAATCAAGAATCAGCAGCCGGTTGCCGATCGCCGTCGATACGTGTAGTTTGTATCCGTGTATGGGTATATTGAAAAAATACTCTGTAATTGAATTACCGAGTATTTATATACGGATAGATTAGGGTTTCAAATTTAGAGATCTGTGGAGAGAAATGGTGAGCCAAAAAGAATGAGACGGCAGATAGAGGTGAGAGAAACGATGCTTTTTCTAATCTTCTGATTCTGAAGCTACCGTTTTATTTTTCCAATAATAAGGTAAATCAATTTTCTTTATTTTTAAAGAAAAATATTCGCGTAGGAAATTATTTTCAAATATAACTAATTATTTTTCTTTATCTAAATAAATTTTATATTTACAACTTCACCCATAAGTTGCCTAATTAATCTTTTTTTATCTACATCTAGAGTCTGGTCTTTAGGCCTAGAAAAAAAAATTGATGTTCGAAGAAACTGAAAAAAATTAAAAAAAATAAAACAATTGAAAAAGACTGGAAGATATTAGAAAAAACAAAAAGGAACTTCGAAAAGTTATATTAATGTGTTTTACATGTTATTCTTATTATAATTGTTCTTGTTATTGTTGACTTGTTATTATTATTATTATTATTATTATTATAACAATCATATATCATAATATATAATAGCTAAATAAAGTCAATAAAATTCAACAGCGTGAATAATATACATGTCATTTAATTATTGGTGTTCTTTCCACGTCAATTTATATTAATAGAATATTCATAATTTTTAGAATATCGTTTAGTGCCATATAGATTAATAAAAAAGTAATTTTCCCAATAAAATTATACTTCGTATTATTTATTTTAAGATGGAAGACAAAAATAATGAGTATGAAAACAAAAAAAATTAACATGGGGAAAATTAATATTAAATTCATATTGAAATTAATAGGCCCATTTTTAGAGTGTTACAATTCTCTCTCACTTAAGAAATTTCGTCCTCGAAATTTTTCTTACTATGTAACATAGAAACGATACAAGTATATATTCAAGGGTAGTTATTTTAGAATCGCATAAAGAAACGTAGGTGCTAGTCTTGTTTCCTCATTGGTAGTGTCAAAGACCTTTTGCTTTCTTTTGTCTCTATTGGGTTGGTTGACGAATGTCGTCATGGTTGTTGGTGTTGCTATTGATGGATTGATTGTACAGCTCTGTCTGAAATGACCCTTCTGACCGCATCCCAAACATGCTCCAGTAACATACCAACATTCTCCAGGGTGATGACGATGGCAATGAGGACATAGTGGATAAGTATAAGATGGACTATTAATCACAACACTAGATGTAATCTTGGTCTTTTTACGTTGTGGAAAGTCTATGTTTCTATAAAAATTTCTTTCCTCAGATGATGTATGAGGCGAAATGGATTCTGATGACGTTCTAGAGGCTACCTTCTTATCTAAGACTCTCTTTGTTGCAATCCTTTCTTCAGCTCGTTCCACCTTTGCGTAAACTGCGTTAAAAGTGGTATAGTCGACTGTAACCACAGCTAGTCCCAAATCATGATCTAGGCATTCAACAAACTTTTCACACCTTCTCACTGTGTTGTTCACCATGTTAGTTACATATTCTGCCAAGTGATCATACTCTTGCCGATATTCAATTAGAGGTCTTTGTTAGAATATAAATAACTGTTCTCGGCCACAACCACAAGCTTGAGCTTTTGGTTGAGTTGGTTCCTTGACATGGTATCAGAGCCTTGTTGACTAAGAGGTCACGGGTTCAAAACTCAGCGCCACCCAGTTTTAAAAAATTAAGGTTTCACGTGCAAGGCTCGAAAAAGACTATGTCTACACGTGAGGGGGCATGTTAGAATATAAATAACTGTTCCTGGGCCACAACCACAAGTTTGAGCTTTTGGTTGAGTTGGTTCCTTGACAGTCTTCCATTCTGTTTCAATTATGTGAATTGTTTACGCTTGGCTTCCCTATATTTGTCCGGAACATAATCTTCTTTGAAAACATGTTCAAAGAAGTCCCATGTGATATTTTTAGGAGTGGTGGGATCTCTCTCGATTCTTTTCCACCAATCATATGTCGCGTCTTGATGCAGTGCAATTGCTAATTGTGGCTTATCATAATCTAGAATCTTCAAATATTTTAGAGCTCTTTTAGTTTGTACCAACTAGTACTCTGCCTTGCCTGGTTTGTTTTTCTATCTGCTAAAAACTCCTCAGCTTCGTTCCTCTTCAACTTCTCTATCATATATTATGGAGGTGCCATGTGCTGAACTGCCTCTAAAATTTGAGAAATGGTTCGAACATTTTGATTTGTCTTGTCACTACGTATGTTATTCTCGTTGTGGACCGATTGAATACTCATCTATTAAAAATAATTACGAAATCATTACTACCATATGTGCATATTTGTTACTATATTTATATTCGTTACTATTTGTCCATGGTCCTTCTATATTGTGGTTTGGTAAACTCTTAAAAACACACTCCGTATTTTACAATGACTAATTTCTAGTATCTAAACTTGACATTCTATTTCACGAGTCTCCCTCAATCTTATTCTTGTATCATTATAGGCATGATTCGCATTCGTGGAATTTCCAACCATAGCCAACTCTGAGTAACATGATTGAATTTGTAGCGATGTTCGTATCGAATTTCTATCACAAACATTCTATGTGTTCAATTTATTTTTAATTTACTAAACAAATATTTATACACTTTATTATATGCTAAGAGACTAAGTACTTAAAATTACCTTTCCAGAGCAATACTGGCGGACGAGTGGACGAGATGTAATACTATTTTCAAATCATTTTTTAGGTCCGAAAATCATTTTAAAACCTTAATGCTCCGATACAAAATTCTAACGCCACGACCCGGATACCCAAATTTATTCAAATATCCAACGCGCGGTGTTAATGGGTCTAACTTCTTAAATCAGTAAGTGGAGCATTAGACATAATTTCTTGATTAATATCGGAGTAACAATTATACATGCAGAAGCTTAGATTTATTCGTACAAAACATATTTAAGATCATATTTCTAAATAACATATTCATTATTTTCTTTCTTGATATTATCTTGTACATCATTCCATCGCTTTAGCATTGTCCTCCGGTTCGATCATATTATGTTTGCGTACCTAGAAAAATGGAGACAACCCGATCAGCAAAAGCTGAGTGGTACCAATTATAACAATAGGTACAAATTATAATAGCATAAACATATACTTTTCTCAAAACACTTTACTTTGATAATATCAAATCATTTCTGTTTCAGTATTCTGTAAAGGTGCAATATTCACATATTTGAAATTTTTCTTTACTCTGCTTCATTCTTGTTTAACTGGGACTTCAAGTACTTAACGTACAAGACATGTCCATTATGTAACTAGGACTCCGAGTACTTAACGTACACGACTAGTCCATTATGAAGAGCTCGTACGCACGACTATTTTCGTATTTCTCCCTTATTACAACTATTATGTTCACAACTATAGTTTATAAATTACTAGATTTCTACCCCGTGCTTTGCACGGGCTCGTGATTTATGGTGAGTGTTGTTTTCGTTTTTTTAAATGTACATTTGAATATTTGATGGACAAAATAGATGAATACTCAAAGGCGTAATATGTTGTTCGAGTAGAAATAATCATTTTTCTAAGTATGTTAGTTCTCATTTTTTTAAGAACTCTAGAGTTAAGATTTTTGGTAGTGTTGTAGTTTAATTTTTTTAAAAACAATTTTATAAAAAAATATAGAAGAGTGTAGGAACTATGTAAAAGTCTATAAGAAGGAAAAAGAAATAGCAAGAGGGATGGAATCAAAGTCACATTGAACTAAAAGAGGAAAAAAAGAAAAGGAAAAAATCCAGCATTATAACCAAACTCTAACCCTCATGTTCCAACGACTACAACACGCCAGCGCCAATTATCTCAATCCAAATTAATGAATAAAGGAAAAACTGCCATCCAATAGCCAAACAAACCTAAATAATTTTGCTAATTTTCATTTCAAATTTAGCTTAGTATTGCATTTGTTATTTATTTGTTGTGTAGTCGATACCAACAATATCACTGCAAAGTAATGAGTTTGGAATTATAAAAAGCCTTACCACCACATCACTTTCCAAAACAAAGCTTCTTAATAAAAAAATTTTTAAAATTTCTTTTTTATAGTTCATAATAAAACTCTGTTTTATCGTCCTTAACAAAGTGTGTGTGTGTGTTTGGATAGACAATCTTATTATTGAAGATGTATTCAATATTCTAGTCAGGATTATAATTATGAATTCTATAATCCTAATAGTGAGCAAAACAAAGGCAAACCAGCTTCAGCAAGTGCAAAATAGATTTCAACAAAACTAAAAAGGAGGGATAATGATCGTGAGTTGTTTCATAGAAGACGGTGTTGGGTCAATGTTGAGGTTGTCTTCTTTTCCTGGAAAATGAGAGCCCATATGGAAATGGCTACACCAAGGCAAACAGAGTTAACACACTGAGACTCATAACAGTAGACATATGAAGGCAAAGACTGAGTGTTATAGCGTACACTTATTAATAAAACTCTCTTTTAGATAGAGAGACTGTGACTATGTGATTTTTGACTGCTGCAGGGTATATACTATTGGGCAAATATTGAAATAAAGACATTAAAAAAGAAAACAGTTTGTCCTCTTTTCTATTTTGATAATTATGTTCCCCCTTTTGAAATTTATATTTGAATATAACTTCCTAGAAATGGTCTTATCATGTGATGTTTGCTCCCCGTTTCTTCTCATTCCAAAAAAGAAAATAAAAATGGTGGTAACAAAACACAAATAAAATATTCTTGGGAAAAAATGATTGCATGATATTATAAAGAAAACAATAGAGCTTGCAAACCTTCTGTGACCACCTGGCCACTTAGTACGGTCTTTCGGCAATTTTTTTCCAAAGTTTCGCGTCTTTAAAGACACTAATGCTATATAAGATTATTGTATAAAGTGGAAATAAATTCAGCCACTTCAACTCATATTCAAAGAAAGATGTTATGAGGCTCGGAATTCACCCTTTCTCAATCAGATTATCAATCGACTAATCCCACCATGGCTGCAAATATAGATCTGCCACGCCATGACACTGGTTATGATTGAAACTTTTGAATTCTATTAATAATCATCACAGCCTGCAGATTTTATAGTGTCTAGAATAATATAATTAGTCTATGACTACTCATTTATAAGGACTGTTTTAGGAATGGGAGAAAAGTGAACTGTGATATACGGTATTTACTGCCTATCTAGGAAAACAGGTGAGTTCCAAGCTATGAAATGCCCCAACCAGGAAAAAATGAGGCCAAAAATCACCATTACTCTCACTGAAGTAAAAGGAAACCAATATTCCAGCTTACCTTTTTATTCTCATAAGGCAACTGTATACTACCTTTTAGGGATTTAATTATATACACTCCGGTGGTTTCATAGCCATCTAAAAAATCTACGGGTGGTGGGGTTGGATTGAAACACTTGAGATAACATAGTACTATCTCTTGCCCCTTAATACCTCTTCAGGTATAGATCCTTCCAAAACCCAAATTTGTTGCAGGCAATACATATAATTGGCAACATCCTAGAACAAAAAACAATTTAGCCAACCTAAAATTAGTTTGACTTCAATTTTGTAGCAGAATAAGAAAAGTTTAAAGACAACAGTAGCGAAATTATTTCTCAAGAGGGAGGACGCTGACTTTTGTGTTTGGAAATTTAATTATACCTTGAGATGAAAAGTCTTGAAGATGCTTTTCTTATTAGCTACAATGGCCTCTTTGAACATCCGTTTGTCCTCCACAACAACAAAAATAACAACAACAATAATACTAATAATAACAATTATTGATGGAGGAGAGAAAACCTAAAAATAGATTGCAGAATTAAAACTTTGATGTATCAACTTAAATGCACCCGGGTCCTATGGTTTTCCTCTGCTTTGCTCTTTAGTCAATTTTTAAGAACCTACACCCAAAAGACACTCACGTTCATTATTGAATTTCATTGCAAGTAAATACACCTAACCCCACTAAATGAATTAAATTTCTCTCGCCTTAACACCGGGAGCCTGAAGAGGACAACTGGAAACCCTGGAAAAGGTGTTCGCAACCCTATGTTCCATATTGATGTGTAACCGGTGTTTAATTTCTCTTTAAATTCTTCACCGTAGCCTAACTGGCGAGGAATTTCAATTCCTCTTCCGATCAACTTCAGCAATCGATTTCATATATGCTCATTCTCATGCTTTTTTTATTTAATTCACTACTACGTAGTATTTTGTTTTTTCCAATCCTAATACTTTTTTCAATAAATTACAATACTTCCAATGTGGTTATACCTAAAAGTTCTATGAAACCCATTCATCCCAACTCTCTGAACTTGAAGGTACAATTGGAGTCTTCTGCAGTTTTCAGAGTTAATCACCACTATGAAGAGCTGTTAATAATGTAGTTTAATATGCATTGTATTATATTTATCCAGAACAATTATTGTTGGTGTATTGGCTAAATATACCAAAACTGATTCCACCATCAACCTTTTAAGCATAAGGATGAACTTACTATTTGCTGGACCCCTACCATATAGTGTAAATACATCTCTCTCATTCTACTTCTCTTTCTCATTTAGTACCAGAGCCCCCATTATTGGATTATTCTGCCAAACTTGAGATTTATCTGAGAAAAGATAGTGCAATTTCCAAGGCTATTTCTCTTCTCGTCAAACTTTTATCTCTTCATTCACAACTAATATTTACAGAGCTTATATGTGCAAAGGGTAAGTGAGATAGAAGTGGATAGTAAAATTAAGACAGAGCATACAGTTAGGAAGCTGTAAAGTAGAGCAGAAGTCATGCTACTTGGCTTGTTATAAAGGTAGAGCTTGTTTCCTGGCATCATTGAGGGAAAACACCAAAGATTATAATTAAAAAAATATATTTAATTAAGAAAAAAATATTGACTGCAATCGTTCCTCTTTATTTGAGATCCTGTGTTGGGTATGGTGACCCACCTCTAGTGCATGAGCTTGTCTTAGAAGAATTTGTATGGGTTATCCACAACTGCAAATTGCGAAAATACCTTTGCAAATGAAGAAAATGCAAAGACGGGATCTTGAGACAACCAAAGAAGTGCTTGAAGCTCCTTGAGGTAACCGGTTTGGGTAGATTTGGTATTTACGTTTATATGGTTGACATCATCGATCCCTACACACCATAGATTGAGCTTTGGTCTTCCCTATAAGACCAAGGAAACAAAAAGGAAATATTTAATATGAGTTCACAACATTGTTCCAAGATCTTAAAGGAGAGTTACTGGACATTTGAAATATAAAAATGTGCGAAAATAAATAAATAAAAATGTGCAAAAATATAAAAATGTGCCAAAATAAATAAATAAAAAAGAAATGAGAAATTGAATTTCCAAAATATGACACTTGCACAATTGGAAAAAGTAACTCATATCATCAAGTCAGATTCAATTAGATAAAATAGGGCCTGCATAAATCATAAATTAGGCAAACATAGGGTGCAATCTTGATTCTTGCATTTTGCAATTCAGACAATTTGGCAAAAAAAAGTAGCAAAAGCCAGTGATATGTTGGAAGTCCTCAAATAGAAAGATAATACCCGGGGGTTGAGACGAAGTTGTAGAGAGGTAGAGTCTACGGGACCCTGATCGTTGGGTCTTTTCTTAGATTGGGGAGCTGGAGACGGAACCAGACGAAGGCATCTTCAGTCGGAGACGGACGACTTCAATAGGAGAGAGAGGGACGAACGAACGGGGAGATCGGGAAACAGTTCGCCGATTCGAAACCGGTTCTCGCCTTCACCGTCCTCAGAATCGTGAGTAGCCTTCAGCAACCGGGGAGAACCGTGAAACTCCTCGCGAAACTCACGGGTTCGAATCTCCCGATCCTGCTCATCGAGGAGAATTCCGGTTCTGCAACCGGCCTCAGAATCGTGAGTAGCCTGGAAGCGATGATGAAGTTATTGCTGATTTCTGAGACGACCAGGATGTTGAACTGATTTCTGAGAAGGAAGTAACCGGTGAGGGAGGAGGGGCCGCGTACAGTGTTCTTCTCCAACCGGAAGCTCTAGGCGACGAAGCCTAATAAATTAATTGAGGATGAAGGCGAAAAGAAGAAAGGTCTTTTAACTGTCCAAATGGAAGGGAGACGGACTAAAGCAAATCTGCAGAGTCTATTCGGATGTGTGGTGGCAGGAAGTAAGCCGAGTCATCAAAAAATCATCTGTGTCAGCTGCTTCGTCATGGTCCACGTGTCAACACCACAGCCAAAAAACCCTACTTTATATATATATAGTACTAGTATTTTGACCCGTGCGATGCACGGGTGGAACAAATTTTTTATTTTTTTTTGCTACAACATTTTTAAAAAATTGTATGTACCAAATAAAACATCAACATTAAAAGTTAGAATAATGATAAAATATATTTCCTCCATCTCACAAAACTTTTCTCGTTTTGATTTTTAAATGATTTATTTTGATGTTGATCGTTCAAAAATGTCCTTCGATAAGATGTGTATAAGTAAGATGTGATGGTAGATTAATAGTGAAAAAATATGATGTGATAGACAGGTTAAGAATTGGTAAGGGTAAAAGTAAGTTTTTAATAGTAATGAGAAAGATTTTTTTGGGACGGAAGAAAAAAAAAGGACAAAAGTTTTGTGGGACAGAGGAAATATAATATTTGGTAATGAAAATTATACTATATATATTTGAAAATTGACATGTCGGACTCTTATTTAAATTAGAACATTTGAAAAATTAAGGTATATAACATTTTTGTGTGATGTTATAAAAGACTACCAAAAACATCTAAAACTAATACTTTCAACCCGACTTTTACTCTCACTCACTAAATCATAATATTGGTGGAATTATTAAGAACATCAACTACTTTGTTGCAATCTATTTCCACAAAGATATGCATCCAATCTTTGCTCTTGATAAAGGTTCAAGCCTCATTTACATAAATTACCTCCACTTCTCTAGGTCTGAAACATCCTCTACCATTAAAGCCTCTTGATAATTTCAAGCAATAAAATGAACCACGACACTCTATCAGCCAACCCTGTTAAAGCATCCACATCAATCTTGACGTAGCCATTATACAACCATCATTGATGGGCAATAAATTAATTCTCCCCATATTAGTTAGATTATCGAATAAAATTGATTCATCTCCACGCATTAATATTATTCTCCTTCCTCATATTGATTAAAAAATATTATTTCTCTTTCCACAATTTAATTAAAAAATATATTGGTAATTCTATTATTATTCTCCTTGCATTAGTTATGATTCAAAGAATATGATTCTTCTATCTTGCGTCACTGCTTTAATTTTGAATAGCAAAATAAATATTATTCATCTTTCACGCATTATCATGATTTTCCTCTCTCGCACTGATTAAAAAATATCAAAATGATTCTTCTCTCCCCGCATAAGTCAAAAAATAGAATCTTAGATTAGGAATCCTATAATTCAAAAAATAAAAATAAAAAATAATTAAAAATCCAATGATTCTATTCATTAGCATTAATTAAAGAAATTAATCGAAAAAAATATTAGTGATTCTATGATTTTGAGTAGAAATTTACAAAAATATTTTATAGTTTTTTTTGTGTTTTTTCTTTTTATTTTAGTACAAAATTACTCCTTTTTTAATTTATTTGATTTAAATATTTGATCATTTTGAAAATAGTCTAGTCGTTTGTAGTAGTTTAATGCAGAGATCAAAATATACTTTTTAAAAATTTTATTTTATATCAATATTCAAAAAATAAAATCAAAACTAAATTCATTTAAGTGTGTAATAAAAATATGATTTCTTAGAGGTTATAAGAGTATCTATTTTAAAGGAAGGAGATCTCATTTATTCATTGATAGTTTTATTATAAGTGTTTTGAAAAAAGATGATCATAAAAATATGCACCCGTTTTGTGTTTTTTATTGAAGTATTTCTTTTTCTCATTTCTCTTGCATCTCTAGTTGATCTTGTTCATCTCTCGTCATGTTGGACGGAAAGATAAAATTTAAATACTGATTCTATCCTTTTTTAATCACAATATTGATTCTTTTCTAGCACGTACGTATTTAGACTTGAAAATGGGTGGTTGATGACACATTCCTTGAACTGTATTCGAACATTTTTGTGATGAATTTTCAAGGGTATTAATTTTTTTCCATTCAATTTTTTTCTAAAATTGAATAATTTAAGTAAAAAATTCATTTAAAAGGGAAGTAATATCGTATATTACTAAATTTAACATTTTATGAAATTTATAAGATTTAGCATTCAAAAAAAGAGCTCAAGTAATATTGCAAATTACTATATTTAACGTATTGTTAAAATTATAAGATTTAGGTTACAAAAAAATCATATTCTCCCATTCTTTTTTAATAACTTCAAGGGCGATTATTAATAGATCTGATTAAAAATTAGAGATTGGTTTTAATATATCAATTAAAAATACAAAAAATAGAAAAATAAAAAACAAAGTTTTGATATTAATTTAATTTCCCATTACAATAAAACCAAAGATTAAAAAATTTTAAGATTTACATTGGTTTATATATTTTTAAATTAATTTATATTATTAGTTTAAGTTAATTATTTATTGGGAAAAGTTTGTAAAAGGCACGTAAGTTCTTAATGTATCCGTGCTAAAAGGTAATACATTAAAAGGAAAAAAAATGTTATAATTAGAAAAAATAATGCTTCTTTATTAAATATCACATGCCTTAGCTTATTTATGCATTGATATACACGCTTTTAAATGCACGCACATGTTTAGTAACTTTAATTTGGAAAATAATTTTTTTAGTGAAAAATGAAATTTGAGTAGTACTATATGGTACGTTTCATTTAGAATAAAGACCAGTTGGACATATATATTCTTACCATAACTAAGTTATGTTATACTCCGTATAATAGAGAATAACTATATAACATCCTCAATATAATTATATTTTAAAAAAAGTATCAATTTTAGTCCACTCATGTATTAATTTTTAATTTTTTTAATCTAGTTATTGAAATGTATTATTTGTTTTTAATTTTACATTATTATTAAAATAAATAGAATCAAAACTAATTTTAAATATTATAAACTAATACTTGTATGAAAATTATTTAAATGTGAAAAAATCATTTTATTTATTAATCAAATTTTTTTATAAATGAAGTGAGTAAAAAATATTGTATTGTATTGGAAAGAGTATGTTCTTAACAATGAATTTTATGATTTAACGAATCCGAGACAGGTATTAAAATTATCTGTACGTAGAGTCCTTAAAAATGATATTTTATTAAAAGTAATAATTTACACGGAAAAAAATTTTAATTCAAATTTTGAATTAATGGGTTCAAAATAAGTAATTACTCCATATCATTTTTGAAAAAAAGTAAAATATGTGAAATAATGAAAGAGAGTAAATTTGGTTAAATTGCCACCTAATATGCCACATGTCAAGCTTTTTAAAAAAAAATTATATCAATATTCAAAAAATAAAATCAAAACTAAATTTATTTAAGTGTGTAATAAAAATATGATTTCTTAGAGGTTATAAGAGTATCTATTTTAAAGGAAGGAAATCTCATTTATTCATTGATAGTTTTATTATAAATGTTGTGAAAAAATATAAAATTTTAAGAAATGTATTCTAATGAAAGTGATGATTTATTTTTCATAATTAAATTTGCTTAATAATATTGAAATTAGAAAGAACATTAGTGTAAATATAGTATGTCTTGGTAACACATTTTTTTATCAATTGTTAACTATAATTTAATTAAAAATATCACATCATAATTCATGAGATATGACTAAGAATACTATATTTTTCAATTCATATCATAAATAGTCTAAGGACTATAAACTATAAATTTTATATAACAAAGTCAAATTATAAAATCAATATAATCGAACTATGAAATTACACATAGTATTTCTTCTATTGTAATATAATTATAGTTTAGTCATCTCTTATTCTATATATCTTTTGATGTAAATTTTAGAATATATTTTGTGTTTTAAATTTTACATCTTCATTTCAATGAATCAAATCAAAACTAACTTCGTTTTAACATATCATAAACAAAAACTTGTATCAAATTGATTTAGAGGTTAAAAACCATCTCATCTATATTGGTTGAAAATTTTATTATAAAAGCAGAGAGTAAAAATTTTTAAATTGGGAAATGATATTATCATTAACACGAATGTTTCATTTGCATACTTAAATTTATTGAAAGATTTCATACCAAAATATTGATTTCTCATTTTTATATTTTTAATTAAGTGGCATATTAGACTATATATTAGCTGTCAAAATAAATATTAAATTTATTTATTGGTGACAGTGGGATTCAACTGGGTTGTTGTTGTTGTTGTTATTTATTGGTGACGAAAGCAATTTATTTATTAGGTCTCAATGCAATATTTAAATAAATTTAATCAAAAAACTAATTTCAAGTAAAGGTATAATAAATAGTTATAAAATTTATTTATAAGTGAAGAGAGTATTTTATATTTTATTCTAAAAATTTGTTATAATTAAAGATGAAAAATATAGAATTTAGAAAGAATATTATTATAAAAAGGAATTTTCCCCCCCATATTTATATTTAATCAAATATTTCTTACCAAATTTTAAATGTATATTTTCCATATGAAAAATTATGTGACATATTAGGTGTTAGAAATGGCTAAATAAAAATAATTTTCTTTTCTTTTTATTCAGTTCATAAATTAGGT